AATTCCTAACTGTCAGGGTGGTCAAATATTGGAATAAATTGCCAAGGGAGGTGGTGGAATCTCCCTCTCTGGAGATATTTAAGAACAGGTTAGATAGACATCTGTCAGGGATGGCTGAAAAAAAAACAAATATGATTCTAGGTTGTATCAACAGGTGTGTTGTAAGCAAAACTCGTGAAGTCATTCTGCCGCTCTACTCTGCACTAGTTAGGCCTCAGCTGGAGTACTGTGTCCAGTTCTGGGCACCACATTTCAAGAAAGATGTGGAGAAATTGGAAAGGGTACAGAGAAGAGCGACAAGATTGATTAAAGGTTTAGAGAACATGACCTATGAAGCCAGGCTTCATGAACTGGGCTTGTTTAGTTTGGAAAAAAGAAGATTAAGGGGGGACATGATAGCGGTTTTCAAATATCTAAAAGGGTGTCACAAGGAGGAAGGCGAAAATTTGTTCCTCTTGGTTTCTGAGGACAGGACAAGGAGTAATGGGCTTAAAGTGCAGCAAGGGAGGTTTAAATTGGACATTAGGAAAAAATTCCTAACTGTCAGGGTGGTCAAATATTGGAATAAATTGCCAAGGGAGGTGGTGGAATCTCCCTCTCTGGAGATATTTAAGAACAGGTTAGATAGACATCTGTCAGGGATGGTGTAGACAGAGCTTGGTCCTGCCTTGAGGGCGGGGGACTGGACTCGATGACCTCTCGAGGTCCCTTCCAGTCCTATGATTCTATGAATTAGTGGACTCTGCATTCAGATAGCATTCGGGTAGCTGTAGCTAATCTCACTTGGAAAGTACTTGATCTTCCTATCTAAAATTACTATGGTTTTTCACCCCTAATAAATTTTTAGTGAAAGGGAGGGGGCCTAAAGGGATTTTTTTTCCCTCAGAAAAATCCTGAGGGCCACAGAGTTTTTTTTGAAGAGAGCTGCTCTCGGAGATGGAAATATGCCCACAATAAAGATAAAGGACAGAGAAGGAAAAACTTCTTTAGATACCTCAGGAAATCTGAAAATTGCTTTAATAAGTAGGTAAGAATGTTAGTAACATAAGAATGGCCATACTGGGTCAGACCAAAGGTCCATCTAGCCCAGTAGCCTGTCTGCTGACAGTGGCCAGCACCAAGTCCCCAGAGGGGGTGGACCGAAGACAGTGATCAAGCGATTTGTCTTGGTAGGAGGATTATTTTTGTGGTTAAGACATTTTACTGAGACTCAGTCCTATTTTTGCCTCTGTTATAGCTTTCCTGGGCAATCTTAGGTACATTACTTAGCTGCTCCATGCCTCAGTTTCCCCTCTGTAAAATCAAAGGGAAACTAAAAATGTTTTTCTTCCACCCTATTAGACTGTAAGACCTTTGGGGCAAAGCAGTCTCTTCTAATGTCTACAGTGTCTAGTACACTAGAGTACACCCACTTTTTGTTACCAAAGTACCAGCAATGAAATCAATTAAATATAATATTTCAGGTAGTGGTTAAAATGTTATAACATCTCTGGTAGCACAGAGTGGACTTCTGTTGTTTAGGAGGTTTCTGCAAAGTATGCGGTGATAGGGTCTTTAGATGAACACATAGCACTTGTCAAGTGAGAGGAATACGTCCTCTGCTTTGTTCATATTCAGTGCCTGAAGCAACTCGGCCACTGTATCCCCCCAAGATATCTGCTTCCCTTTGTAAGAACTGTTTTGTAAATAATAATAATACCTAGCTCTGATAAAGAGCTTTTCAGCAGTGGATCTTAAAGTACTATACAAAGGAGGTCATTTTATAGATGGGGAAATAGAGGCAAACAGCAGTGAAATGATTTGCCCAAGATCACCCAGCAGGCTAGCAGCAAGCTGGCAACTGAATCCAGGTGTCCTACTACTTAACTTTTTAGGGCTGTAATTTATTTGAGAAGTGTAACAAGGTGACTTGCCTTTGGCCTGAAGAGTCTGGGACTAAGCCAACCCTGATTATAGAATGAGCCTCACACCTGAGGAATATAAATAGCCAAAAGTGTAAGTGCTGGAAGGAATAGTTGTCTGGGCTCTGAGTCAGCAGATAGCAGCCAGAGTGGAAAAAGGAAGGTCAGAGCTGGAGACTTGGGAGAAGTGCTGAGTAAAACAGGGAAAAAAGTCAAAATCTCTTAAGGCAGAGAGACATTGACTAACCAAGGAAGAGCTTGGGAGACTCAGAGAGGGAGTAAAGAGATAGGAAGTGGCCCAGGGAAAACTGTGTTGTGGGAAAAGGATCCAGCCTAATTTAGAGCCCTGGGTGGCAACCAAGAGGTGAGCCTGGGGCTGTGTTCCTATACCAGCCTATGGAGAAGGTGGACAAGCCCTTCACAAGTGTACCTGAATCCAGCACAGGGGGCAGGCTAAAGAAAAGCCCCAGAGAGCATGGAAGGCTCTTGATTTCTGATTATGACTGTTTGGGCTTTTAGCATGGAAAATGGGGACTCTGAAAGGGGTGGACTAAAGACTGTGGTGTGGCTGGTGGGTTGAGTCAGTGGGTAAGTGGCCATGTACATAGACTGCTATGACACCTGAGAGACTGTCAGCGGTGGGGCTAGTACAGTAGGAAGCAGTTATGTCCTTCCTGACCATGGGCAGATGCTCATTGGTGAGTATACCCTGTATCAAGGAACATGTTTGTTTGTTAATGTGAATTAAAATGATAGCCTTCTAATAGTCTGCAGTTTTGGAATATAATTGCCCTATGCTTATTCCTTCAATTTAATCTTGGCTGAGTTCAAGAACTAGTGCAAACACTAAAAAGAACATCCATGTATCCCCGCTCTATCCATATCTGTGGTGTTTTAGATGCTGCTTGTATTTATTAGAACTGGGATAAATCAAGGCCTGTTGAAGTTTGTTACTACCTTACTTGCATGATACAACATCTTCAGCTAATACTCCTCAGTCTGGATCCTATTCCATTTTTTAATCTTAATCTGAGTGGGTGGTGGAAATTTTGAGGAACACTATAAATTATTATTTTTTTGTTTGAAACATTTTCATTGTATTTTCAACAGTGTGTTCTGGGGATATTGCAAAACATGTACAGTTAACTGAATCTTTAGAGTTCTTTTAAGAATTCAAGGAGGTTTTTTAAAAGTCCTTCAAAGTATATTTTATAAGATTAGTACTCTCCTGACCTTCCTAAATGACAATCTGTTTTTAATAAACCCTATTTAGCCAGGCTAATTAGAGTTGGTAATAAATCTTTTGGCTGGTTGACTAATCTTAGAAAACATTTAGGAGTCTATATTGATCAGAGAACTGAGGCTGTAAAACCATATGGAGAGAGACTGTTTATTCTGGATAAAGAAAAATAAGCTTTTCTGAAGAATAGATATTACTACTTCTTATTCTTTGGTAGTTGCTAAAAAATAGATTTATTACTAAAGCTGGGCTTAGGCAAAATCCTTGGCTCAACACACATCCTAACCCTTGGAATATTTGAAATCTGTGTCAGGTAAAATGTTTGCTATGAGCATATGCTTGTCAGACCTCAATCCTTAATCTAAACACCATGGGACATTTTGTTTTGTGGTTTGAGTCCATCTCTATACTATAATTCCATACTGGTTGTCTAATGCAATTCAGACTAATCTAATCTAAGTACTTATCATCTCTGTGGTATACTTGCTTTATAACGTGTTGCATGTGCAATCTAAATGTCTGCCAAAAAGTTCAGACTTGGATACTAAAAGGTAAGTATCTGTAACACTATACTTAGGGCTCTGATTGAAAGATCACTAAAGTTGATGGATTCTTTCAATTGATTTTTTTTTTTTTTATGGGCTATCCATCAGGGCCTTAGAGACAGTTATTTAGGTGCCTTAAAAAAGCAGATAGGTGCTTAGTGAGATTTACAGAGGAACCAGATAGATGAGGTATCTAAATTCCATTGATTTAGTGGACTTAGGCACCTAACCCACTTAGACTCCTAGTGGGCTTTTTAAAAGCCACTATCTTCATGTTTAGGCACTGACATACCTTAACAAATCTAACCCTTGATGCTGAAATCAAAATTACCCAGTTGCCTCATAATAAATTAATAAAAATAAACTGCTTAAGTAGAACTACTTTAGCCAGAATGCAAATGATAGTACATATGTAGCACTAAATTCCTAATATTTCCTCCAGTGTAAAGGTGTCTCAAAGCCACATATGTCTGACCACAAGATTGCTGTTGTGCAGAACTGAATCCAGGGTTTTCAAATTATCAGGTGTGGTGCTGGCTAAACAGTCTAAAAATATTTCTACTGGTTAAAGAATAATATGGGGCTTATCACATTGTGCTCCAAAATACACGCTGTGATTTATGAAACTAGAATTCCAAATGTGCATAGAGAAATTTGGTAAAATTGTAAGTTGCGTTCCTATGTTGCTGACTTAGCAAATGCAACTTTTAAGCAATGTATGCCGCCACCAAGTTCGTAAATGACAATTTTAATTAAAGCGCAACAGTAGTTTCTTCATTTATTTACATCCATAAACGGTAACTCCCCCCCACAAATTTCAGTGTAGTTGCCTGGATATAGATGACAGCAGAACTAGGTCATCATTTTCCATTGTATTTCATCGTATTTACAGTGTACGTTTGCATTATCCTTTGAAAACTTCCTGCTGTGTTGAGTGGTGTACATGCAGCCTTCAGATTTAGAGAAGGAAGGGGTTTGGGCTATTTTTACCAAGTAATAGTGCTTCAGAAATACACTCCATGGAACACACATTTAAAAGAGCAAATAATGAGGTCTTTGAGTGTACTCAGAGTTATTATTTTATAAACACCTGTTCTGCGAGCATGCCTGTACTTAGCTTTAAGTTTGCAGGATGTTTGCAGGCAGACTGCATTTTACTAGAAGGAGCACTGAAGAACCAGTAGTGAGTAATGGAAAAATAGACAAAACTATACTATTGCAAAAATAAACTGATAAATAATTTGTCATACAAACTTGTGTCATACAAACTTGTGCAGTGATCTTAAGAATTAAATCTCTTTTCCCTGCCCCCAGGATTCAGAATTTCCTAAAGATGCTCAAGTGAATCCTTACCTTGCTCGAGCGAAGGAATGTATCCGACCATTGAAATCTGCAGTATACCGGTTGAGCAACACTTTGAAAGTCCATAATCTCGCAGTCAGCTGGTAGGAACCTTAATATATTTAGTTTATCATTGTATAAATATTGAGTCTCTTCTATCTAATGGTTATAGAGAGAAATCTGTTGGAAGTGGTGAAAGAACTATTCTTGTTAAATGCCCTAAACCAGTGATCCCCAATGCGGTGCCTGCGGGTGCCATGGTGCCCGCCGGGCCACTTGTGTGCCTGCCGAGTGATTGGCGCCAGCCCCAGGTGTGCAGCACATGGGCGGCCCTAACCCCAGGCACGGTGGATGGGCTGTGCCGGCCCCGGGCATGCGGCGTATAGGCGTCCTTGCCCCTGGGCACACGGCACAACAGCGGCGTCAGCCTCAGGCATGGGGCGCATGGGAGCTGCTGGCGCATGGGTGCACGGCACAGGAGTGGCGCTGGCCCCGGGCATGCAGCTCATGGGCTGTTCCGGCCCTGGGTGCATGGCACAGGAGCAGCGCCGGCCCCAGGCGCCTGGTGTATGGGCAGCCCCACCCCTGGTCGTGTGGCACAGGAGCGGCGCTGGCCCTGGGAGTGCGGCGCATGGATGGTGCCGGCACCGGGCATGCGGCTCGTGAGTGCCCCCACCCCTGGGTGCCTGGCACGAGTGGCCCCGCCTCCGGGCGCACGGCATCCCCAAAAGGTTGGGGACCACTACCCTAAACAATCGTCAAAGGCACTGCACAGGCCAAGTGGATTGTGAGTCCTTGATTTACAGTCCTAATCCTATATAGAGGCCTATAAAATGTACAGAGCACTTGCTCTGAGATTCCCATGCAGTTAATTTTATACCAGAGTAAATTATGGCAGTAATTTAAAATCAAGTAATTGACTCTAGTGAGTTCCTCCGGATAGAAGTTTTTACTAGTTGATGTAACTGAGAACAGATTCTGGCCATGAGAATATAGCATATTTGTGACAATGTCCTTTTCCCTTCTGTAGTCTTAGTCCTAGTGGATTTTCAAACCAGGTGAGAAGCATATGTGATGGGCCAACATTCTCAATATAGTTACTAAAATAGCTTAAAGTTTGGCATGGAAAAATCTGTGGATGGTAGAAGTACATATTGTCAGACTCAAATAATATTGGAAATTGGCCTTTATGATGAATAAATAAGGAAAAATAGATACGATGGTGACACTCATCTAAGCTTGAGGTTCTAGTAGGCTGATTTAAAAAAATGTGGTGTGTGCAGCTCATTTCCTTGGGTCAAAAAATCAAGTTTTAAATTTAGATGTCCTAGTTTACAAGCTATTGCACACTTTAAGTGTTAGCCATTTGGCTGAGGAAGAGTAAACATGAAAGTCATCTTTGCTGCTAGCTGTAACACATTTTCAAAGTTCAGAATTCTGAGTTTATGAAGGTGTTTCTTTGTTAATGCATGTGTGAAACCCACCCAGATGTGGGTTTGCTATTTATAGATCTTTTGAAATAGCTTTGTATTATCCCCACTGTGGCCAGATGGCAAGTTCAATGCTACTAAACTTATCAGCCTAAAGAAAAATGGTCCTTCCTCATTCAACAAAACTTTGTGAAATTAAATTGAAGATGTTTTCTCCAAAGCTAATTAATTTCTTTTATTGCTTAGATCTTACATTTTAGGTAATGTGGTTTCTCAATTGTCAGTTGCAGCCCTTTCCAATAATCGGTGTCTGGGGAAAAACTGGACAAACTTCTAATATAGTTTCTGTTCTCTCTCTCTCTCTCTCTCTCTGTGTGTGTGTGTGTGTGTGTGTGTGTGTGTGTGTGTGTGTGTGTGTGTGTAAGCAATATACAGGAAGCAGAACTGCATGAAATGTTGGTAACAAAAGGAGTTTTGTGGTGATCAAAATGTTCTTGTTTGTGGAACTGGGAACAATTTTTCAAAAATCTGAAAATGTTTGAAATTCTTATTTGCTATTAGGATGACTGCTAAACCATTCTGACACATTTCAGCATAGTACTTGAAATGTCTGCCTCATTTTTTTTATTGGCTTGGTTTTGGCACAGGAATGATTGACTGCATCTACCCCATATTGTAGGTTATCAATGATGTGATAATTACCTGTTCGGGTCATTACCTGGAATTGGCCAGTGGTGGAAAAGGGGATACTGGGCTAGATGGTATAACCCAGTATGGTTGTTTTTAAGGTCTTTTCTGTGGTGTAGCATATTGATTGGGGCCTCTGATCCAGTGAGGGAAGACAGCTGGGCAGGACTGTGTTTCACTTCTGTGCAGCCTGATAGGGGAATTACCAATATTCTTGGCCCACAAGTGTATAGTTAGGATTTTAGGGGGACGCAGTTCTTATCTCATACCCTGCTGAGCACATTGGAAGGCAAAGTGGTCCATTTGCAGAAGTATAAGATGTATTGTGCAATATTATGTAAAGCATACATTTGATTCTTTCCCTTAAGCTGTGGAGGGCACCAAGGCCAGCCAGCTCTGTTAGGAAGCAGATCTCGCAGGTGCCAACTTCCCTTTGTGCCAGGGGGTGCTCAACCCCTGGCCGTGCCCCAAAGCCTGCCCCTTTCCCCAAGGCCACATTCACATCCTGCCTCCTCCTGCCCAGTTTCACCCCCTCCCTGGAGCGTGCTGCATCCTGCCCCTCACTCCTCTCCAGCCTCCCAAATGCCATAAAACAGCTGATTCCTGCAGGAGGGAGGGGGAAGTGCTGATGTGGGGACCTGCTTGAGCACCCACCAGTTTTTCCCTGTGAGTGCTATGGCCCGAAACGCCACACACTGACTCTGTGGGTGCTATCAGATCCCTCTAGAAAGGGACGAGCTGACTGCTTAATGAGCATGTGATTCCTAGACCATCTGGAAGGGAGGGTGGTGGGATTCAGTGGAAAAGGCTTGATTCTTGTAGTAGGCCATGAGGCAGAGAAGCTCTGGGAGGGGAGCCTCTAGGTCAGGAAGAAAGAAGCTTTTGGGTTTACGTTGAACTGTTTTATTTTGAGGGTCACTAAAGGTTGTCAGGGCAAATGGGAGCCTGAGGAAAGGGCTTGAACAGACTGAGCTTGGTATTAATGCCTCCTGGGTTGGGGAGACCATCTAAACCCCTAACTGTAACTACATATACTCTTTTAAAAAGACAGCGTATATTCCTGTTTATATATAATGGGAGCATCTAAATCCTTTTAGCCCTGCATGGTACTCTGTACTATGAAGAGTTGTTCTTTAAATAGCTATGCCATATGTTGGCCTATGACTTTACAGATAATTAAGAAAAGCAAATATAAAGGATTTAGTGAGATTATCTAGGTTTCTTGGGGGGATCAAAGATAGATTTTTCTCCAAGGATTAACTCCTCTTTATCTCATTAGACTAGGTTTCCCTATTTACTATGAGTGGCTTCCACAGAAGACTGTTTTTTAATCTCCTAAAAGAGTCAGGTGCATTGACATGGCTGCAGAAAGTGTGAACATCTCCCTCATTCTGAAATGACACATTAAGGCCCCAATCCTGCACTGAGATCCGCAAAGGCTCACTGGTCTGCTGCACTTGTTTTCATCTCTAGTTTTGAAGAAAGAAAAGGTCAATGCTATAGTCTGATTCATCAAACCTAGCTTATTGATAAGGTCACGTGAGACCATATCACTAAAGTCTAGGTATACCACATCCTCCTCTTCTCCCTTATCCACAAGACTAGTTAACCTATGAACCTATCCAATTAGTTTGACATGAGTTGTTCTTTACAAATCCATGGGGGCTGTTACTTATCACCTTACTATCCAGATGTTTGCAGATGAATTCCTTAATTACTTGTTCAGTATCTTCCCTGGTACAGAAGTTAAAGCTGACTAGTCTGTAGTTTTCTGAGTTGTTCTTCTTTCCCTTTTTTATAGATGGACACCATATTTCCCCTTTTCTTGTCTCTGCTATCTCTCCCTGTTACCTGCCCTTAGAATCAGCCAAGGAATAAGCCCAGTCAAAGGGTGAACTGGAGCAACACTCCAGCTTGTTTATTGGTACAGATTCTTAATGGTAAGGCAATAGTCACACGCACATCACATTCCTGCCGACAGTTTGGAGGCAAGCTGCAAGCGTGGTGAGTTAGTTTACATTCTGCAGGCAGCTGAGGCGGCCAGGCAACAGCTCCATGAACATCGGCTGCAGGGTGACATGAGTCCCCTTGGAGCTGCAAGGGCTCTACTGCTTCCGGTCTGGTCCTAAGCTTGGTGTGCTGTTACCAAGGAAAAGAGAACTCCTCCTGGTTGCCCGTCACACATTTATGCACTTTCTAGTTTTTCTTAATCATAATACATGCCATGCTGCTTTGATTGGTGGGTTCTCACTCATACTTCCTCATGCACTTCATGTATCAACAGGTTACATATTCATAAGCATGAATACAATTGATTCTATTAATGCACTGTGACTTTTAGCAGGCATCTAACATCATGGGGATTTTTCAGCATAACAGGAACTATCTAGACCGCAGCAACTGAGCAGCAAACTGCAGATGAAAGAATAAATGGGGGGATAAGGGGCCACATCTGGCTACACTGCTGACTTCAGTGACTTTTTTCTAAGAACTCCTCTATCAGCTCCTTGAGTATTCTAAGATACATTTTATCAGGTCCTGGTGCAGGGCCGGCCCACAACACTTTGGCACCTGAGGTGGGGAGCTCCAATGATGCCCGCATACTCCCTTTTCGCCCGCCTGCCTGTTATGTCTCTTGTGCCCTCCTTCCTCCACACAGCACTCCACCATCTCTGTGCGTCTAGAGCAGAGAGAATAGAGATACAATTTTCTACACTCTGGATCCTAGTGGCATCCCCCCCCCCCACAGTCTGCCTCAGTTTGCTTCACGGTAAGGCCAGCCCTGCCCTGGTGCCATGTACATGTTCAAAATTAGCAAGAGTGTTTTGATACTTTGACTATCTATTTAGCATTGTTCTATTTAATCTTCATGCGACAGACCTAGATCAGTTGGCTGTGCTAGTTTCATAGAAGGTAAATACTGGCCATTGGATGAATAGCTTTCTGTGCCCTGGGTGAGAAGGGTAGGGGCTGCTCCAGCACATTCA